AAATAAATTGATAATATACAAAGCAAGTGATGCACAATGCAACTGCTCACCACCTGCCAACCAGTGCCCAGCCAGTCCCCGAGCAGCGGCTCCCCCCCGGCCAGCTTTCCCCAGTTCACGTACTGAGCATGACGTCCCATGGTATGGAATGTCCCTTTGGCCAGGTTGGGTCAGCTGTCCTGGCTGTGCCCCCTCCCAGCTTCTCGTGCACCTCCAGCCTTCTCAGTCGGTAGAGCATGGGAAGCTGAAAAGTCCTTGACTAGTGTAAGCACTGCTTAGCAACAACTAAAACATCGGTGTGTTATCAACTTTGTTCTAGTCCTAAATCCAACACACAGCACTGTACCAGCTACTAGGAAGGAAATTAACTCTATCCCAGCGGAAACCAGGACACTGAGCAAAGATGTTATTGAATGGGCTGTGGTGACTGTAGCTGTGGGCATAGGTCCTTTGCTGATCTAGGCGGACACTGTAAGATGTCCCTCTCTTCCCATCCCCATCTGTTACAGGTTAATGTCCCCAGAACTCTGCCAGCTTCTCTGTGAGCGCTCCCTAACCCACATCAAGCAAAACCTGGCATGCTAGCACACACAGCAGTGTAAACCCTTTCAGCAAACGCCATGGATTAAGCAGTTAAGCAGACTGTTGTTCTAGCGGAGTTGTGAGGCAGTAACTTCCAGCAGAGTGGTTGTGACAAACACATGGGGCACAGTAACATCCTAAGGCGCTACAGCAATCTACCACTTAAAGGTATTTTGTGTGCATATCCCAGCAGCACAAAGTTCAGCTGAAGAACAGGTAGTCACTGCTGTTCTCCATCTCACCCCAGGGACATTGCTGTCCAGCTGAACCCAACCCAGCTAGCATAAAATAAGCATAGATACCTCTACATTGCAAACAGACCCTTCTGAATTCATTGCAGTCATACTCTGAATTATCGTCACCATGCTTCAGGATGGTGTCATGCCTGGATGACACCACAGGCTGATGCGAGCATGTAAACGTTAGGGTCTAACAGATGAGGTCTTCCACAGTGCAGCTGGCTTGAGGTTAGCCCAGTAAAAAAATATCAGTTGTGTGCCAACAGCACACAAAGGAGTGATGTTGTTACCATTAAATCCAACAGCCTTTGCTTACCAGCTACCTATTTACATCTGGATCTACTGAAAAGATGGCCATTAATGTATTCCTAAGCAAGACTTGAACTCATTTTTGGGTGTCTTAGCAACTGCCTACATTGTGGGATGAAAGAAGCTAGGGGAGAGAGGGAGGTTCGGCAGAAATCTTCTCTTGTCTTTGCATCTAGCCTGCTATCCATATGGATTATATGAGACTTTAAAATTATGCTATCTGTACTTTTCAGAACTCTAAAAGGACAAGCTTCTTTTCCGCTGAATGTAACGGTGACAAACCTGTTTATAGAGAACTCAGTTGTAAATGAAGTGGCAGTTGGTTCTGCAATAAAAAATGCAGGAAAAAAATGGCCTTTTTTCTCTGGGTACAAAGGTATGTAATTCCTTACTGTGGAAGTAAATAATTGGTAGAAACAGAGGTTCCTATCTTCAAAGCTGTTTAGAACATTTCTGTGTGCAGCAAAGCCCATCAGAGCATAAGCCTTGTTGATTTTAAGGAGCTGAATGTTCAATCTTAGGTAATTTTGAAGACTCAACCATTCAGTGCTGGGCTTTTTTGTTGTATTAAGGCTTTCTACTTCCTGTGTAAAGAAAAGAAAGACAATACTTATTCCCAAGTATGCAATGGCATGTTGATTTTAACCTGCTGAGTGTTAAATGGCTGGAAAAATCAGGACAAAATATATACAGACATATATTGTGCTTCTGAGAATAAGCCAGTATTTTACTGGCAAAACAGGATGAAACTCTCTTTAGACTTCTTCTTCCATAATTAAACATGGTAATTGAAATGAGGCCTCACTGATTAGCTACTAAGCTAAGTGATTCATTGGCCTAAACCAGTAAAGTCTTGCATTACTAAAAGTCTAATACTTGGAGAACGATTTTCTAAATAAAATATGGATCTTTTTCTCTTTTTTTTAATATGCTTCTATTTTGAAATCAGTTTTCACAAAAGGCATAGCTAATAATTAAAGGAGTCCATTTCATGGCTTATAGCCTGAGTTTGGTCTTTGAAGGTGACTGTATCCACCTCAACCATGACATTTCCTGTGTGCTAGTCCTAAACGTGAGGGGGAAATAGAAAAAACCTGAGCGCTAACAAAGCACCAGTGTAATCACATCTCATCCACTGCATGCCACCCGCTGAGCTTTGTAAACCATTGCCACCACTGGGACATGGATCTAAAGAGCAACATGCTGGGCAAACAGCATACTAATATTGCTCATGAAATGAGCTGCATGCCCATAAACATTTACATCTATGTAGAACTGTATGGGATCTGGGCCTCACAGTTCAGTTGTAGAAAAAACTAAGGGAATAGTGCTGGGGTTTTTCTGTAGTTTTTTTAAGGTGAGTCAGAAAGTCAGTGTTCAGAATATGAACTTATGGGTAGAATTTCCCTCTTCATGGACTGGGGGGCAGGAAGGTTTGGAGGCAATTGTAGGAGGCTGAGAAACAGAAGGTCAGAAGGTGGGATGGAAACAGGACCTTAACTGGTAAAGAGCAAGGGAAAAGAAAGGGCTGGTCCAAATGCCTGCAGCACCAATGTCCCCAAAAAAGGTTTTTTTCAGAATTGCTAAATAATTGCTTTATGATTTACTGAGCAAGTACACCGCTTTCTATGAAATGATATTATTAGTACTCAGTTTGCTTCCTGGCTGTTTCTCTTTTAAAGAAACAACCTATTGTGCTGTTTTTAATTGTGATACCCAAACCACATCCTGCGAAGAAAATGTGTTTCCAAAATGCATATGCAAAAGTGATTTCTCAAAGACAGAATGGGATGATCGTTCTTGTTCAGGTAAGAACCTTGCTATTTTATCTGTCCCTGAAAGGCTGACCTGGTTATTCCCTGTCTCAGTCCCTTTTTGAAAAAGGCGGTCTGCAAATGTGCCGATCTCTAAAAATCAGGGAATGTGTGTCTTATTAAGAAAGCCATAGAAACTCATTCTCACGTTTCACTTTAAACACATCCCTAATTCTATTCCAGTAGAATAAACTACTAAAGCCTGAGAAAATTATCACTGAAACCAGTGAGTGATCAACTCTTTAAATGCATTGTTAAACTCTTGGTAAGAATTGAAACCTAAATAGGTAAAGGATGGAACAAATTGACTCCTATATTCACAGCCTTCTCTGCTAGGACATATTTTGGGAATAAATTCTACATGCTACCTGGAGGCAGCTATGGGGATGCTGACAGAACTGGAAGTCTCACGATGCACTACAACGATCTGTTAGAGCTCTGGCCCTTGTTGGTAGTTCTAGGATTGCATTACCTGTGTTTAGACTGGTTTTTGTGGGAAGAATGGTTTACGTGATTTTTAGGAACTGTTAGTTGTTGGGGTTTTATTTGCTTGTTGCTTTTGAATCTCTTAATGAGTACTCTATTTATGTTTTTAGCTATACTCCACAGCCCTGAGATGTACCTTATTTTCTTCTTATGAAAACTAAAATTTTCACACCACAGAAAAAAAGTCTAAGATATGAGATTTTAAGAAAAACAACAAATATTGCACACACTCATGATAAGATCATGAAAGCTGGCTACAATAAAGGCCAGTGAGATGTGATCCAGTGTAGGCTTCTGTGGCCCCTAACCTGTCTAATCTGATCCAGTTTTAGATCAGTGGCAATACAAATCATCTGCTGTGAGATCAAACTGCAGGTCATTGCTTGCCTATGTAAGATGCAGCCTAGCCAGATTTCCATTCTGATGAAGCTGGATGGTTTAAACAAAGACCGTTTACTTTTAATTTTGTGATTTTGTATTTCAGTTTCTGTTCTACATAGGTATAGCCCTAAAAAAAGCCATTCTGGTGCTTTGAAGCACAATAAAGTTGTGTGTATTTACAGTGCAATAAAAAAAAAAAGAGGGGGCGGAATTTTCTCCAATGCTGATCTTTTTGGGGCTATCTTCAATTCACTCCATATTTTTTCCCTCTGAAAAATACAGATTGCAATAAAAACTGTTCTGCAGAAGAAAACAAGTACTGTGCAAAAGAAAAAGGGACTCCAACATGCAAATGCATGCCTAACTTTGAAAATAAGAATGATAAATGTGTGTCGTGAGTACTCAGCTTTTTCTTGTGTTCCTGTATTCTAGGCAAAGATAGGGGAGAAGAACATCTAACACAGGGTCACCCTCAATCTAGAACAGCCTGCAGCTATGTGAATCAGAGAGGTGCCTAAGGTGGCTAGCAGGCGGACAAATTCCCATGGTGTCACAAGTTATGGCATTTTAACTGCTTGGCATTAGCCATTGGTGTGCACTCATAATACCTCAGAGGAAAGTCAAGGAGATCCAAGATCATCTGTGAGTCAGTGGAGAGGATAAACTACTTCACGCTTATTTTGTGGGTTGCCCACATAAACATAAACTATTTCCTCAGAGTAATTGAGCCATGGGAACTGGTATGCTGAAGCGTTTAGTATGCAACAGGCGTTAGAGCAAGACTTGCCTCAAATCCCTGAAAAGTTTCCACTGATATCAGCTGGGGACTCTGTTTCCTGATAACTTTCAGACCTATGTTATTTTGTCTTGGTTTTCCCTCTGCGGGTATTTCTGTCAGCTCAGGATCAGAACAGAGCCGTGGTGTTTGCTGGTGAAGCTGAGTTGGTGACTGGTTGTGCTCTGCTGCCATGGATAAACAGAGGGACCTTACTCCCCATATCCATTAATTCAGCTCTTTTTGTAGTTATTGCTGCTACACACTGAACACTTTTTACTGTAAAGTCAAAATATTTTAAATATAAAAAACTAGTATGGGAGGAAGATAAAGAGCTGCCAGTCATTACAGACCTTATATTGAGGCTTTTGATAAAGACAGTGGGTAGCAATTCCAACTGGCTCAGAGGTGTAGGGCTTAGTTCTTTGGAGAGATTAGGCCCTTTTAACATTTTTCAGGCTGAGAATCTGAAACTTTGAGTGCCCAGCTCACCAATCATTCTAAAAATCTCAGATTGTTTTACTCTAACAATGAAACTAAACAATTCAATATTAAGATAGCATTAAAGAGGAAACCTGTAATGAACGCACCTTGCAGAGAAATTGCTGATAAAAGGTGGAAATATACTATTGTTTTGTGATCATCTGCTTAATGACATGATCTTTCTTTTCTTTCTTTCCCCTTTTTTCTCTCATGTAGTTGTCCAGTGGGCTACTCTGGAGAGAACTGCAAGAACAGTAAGTACAAGAATTTCTGATTTTTAATTACAGCATGGAAAAATACCCAGTAATGTTTAATCTGGCTGAGAGAAAAAAAAAAACCAAGTAGAAGCCTTTAGGGGTGCCATCATCCTGTATAGATAGCAGGATGTTAGAAATGTTAGAAAAAAATGAGAGAAATTCCACTGTCGTCTGGAAGGAAAAATCCTTCTTGAAGCTCACGTTCAGACAGACAGTAGCCTTTCCTCTAATGACCTTTACATTAAGGCCAGTAGTTTTTAGTCAAACACAGGCTATTTGATAGAAAAACATTTAGTCCTCATCTAAAGACATGCAATGCTGGACTCAGCACCACTAATGGATTAGTTTCTCCTGTAATTAATCACTCCCTCTATTAAAACATCAGTGGATTACTCTTATTTGAAATGTTTCTGCTTTAATATCCAACCACTGGTTCTTGTTTGTGCTTTACCTTGCAAGCAAGCATTGCGTAGTATCTACTATTCTATACTGGTGAAGAGATGATAGCCCCAACTGTGCTATCCCATAATTGTAATCATCTGGACAAGCTAACCAGACGGGCCTTCCAAAGCTTTTTCCCTTTTCTGAGTCAGTTTTGCAGCTGTTCGCTGCACCTTCTCCAGTTTCCGCCATCGCATTGATTAGGAGAGGACATTCTTCATACCTTCTAGTGTTTGCATGTGCCTAAACTCAGAACATCTAATACAGTCAAAGGCAGGTTGAAAAATGAACAGTTATGGTTCTTCACTTCTCAGAACTCCTTTAGCTTTATTTGAGGAAAAGGTATGTCCTCATGTGGCCCTTTGGAGTCTCACACTGCTGCATTCTTAAACTTATACATGTTTAACATGCCTGTGTCTGCAGCTGTGAGATCTTCAAGTGTTTTCTCCTGGTTTTGCCTAAAAGTTTTGGAGGTTGGCTAACGGTAGTTGTAGTGCAGCACAGAGAATCTTGCTGGGTGTAAATGTTTGGCAGGAAGGATATTTTTCATCACATGGAACATATTTTTCTAGAGAAAGTTTTGGGAATTTTAAGGCCTTTTTCATAAAGCAAATGAAAATGCTAAATCAGCACAAAATCAACACATTGTGAATCTAAACACGAATTTGGGACCTGCTAATAATAACACCATTAATAGCCTCATCTTCTCCATATGGCACTTGGTGGGTACTGATGTAAAAAGTTTGCTGAGCAATAACCAAGGATACTTTACACGTGTTTGGCATAATGTTCTTTTGAGAAATCATATTTCCTGTTGTCTCGCTGTATGCTCCTGTGATTAAATGTGCTGGATTGTTCTGCTGGTAATGGCACAGTTGGTGGTTTCATGTTGTGTGTCTCCAGTATAGGCATTCAGTATACTAAATGGCAGACTCATAAATCCAGACTGGAATCTTCAAGTAGGTACCACCAGTAAGGTTGGCTAGCTCAAGAGACTCTTACTCTTCACACGCTTACCTTGAAATTATGCCCTGCAGGACACAATTCTACTTTTTTTTTTTTCCTTACCATGGCTATGCAGAGCTAAGACTAGGTTTTAGTAGCAATTCCGTTCACAGTTGAAGGAAGATATACAGAATCCAGGTCTTCCTCCCTTAGTCATTCTGGTTCTGCAGCAAGATCAGTGAAAATTAATTTTCCTTGCCAAACATTTATTCAGATAGGGGATATTTATGCAGTGTTCATAGTGCCATATAATTGACATCTCAAATCAGTGTGCCTTATGTGCCTAGAGCATGGGTAGAGCCTATCTGACACCTAACTACATATTTTAGCAGCAATACTAGTTTAAGCAACTCCTATGCCCTCCCAGTCGTTCCTGTCCCTCAGCTAACTGGAACAACTGTGTGAAGCCATTCAGTGCATGGGATTAGGAACCTGAGCTGGGATCAAAATAGCCATCCAGAAGACACGGTCTTTAATGCAGATCAGTTCCTCCATTTACACCTTTCAGTGTCCGCAGATAGTTGTACTGAGACAGCACCAAAAGCCTGGGAATGAATAACATCTTTCTTTCTGTTTTTTAGGCTTTCTTTTCTTTTCTTTTCTTTTCTTTTCTTTTCTTTTCTTTTCTTTTCTTTTCTTTTCTTTTCTTTTCTTTTCTTTTCTTTTCTTTTCTTTTCTTTTCTTTTCTTTTCTTTTCTTTTCTTTTCTTTTCTTTTCTTTTCTTTTCTTTTCTTTTCTTTTCTTTTCTTTTCTTTTCTTTTCTTTTCTTTTCTTTTCTTTTCTTTTCTTTTCTTTTCTTTTCTTTTCTTTTCT